GGAACATTTGAGATATCGAAAGTGTTCAATAGTTCTAGGAAGTGTGTGGCAAGGCTAGTGGTGCGAGAGGTCAAGGAGACAAAAGGACAGTCAAGTAGGTTCACTGTCAAAAGCACAGTTAAGGTGGTGGAGGATAACAGTTCAGTGGAAAATAATTATTTGTGTTAAAAGATAATGAATTTGCGGTGAAGGCTGAACATTGTTATTTTGTGTTAAACAGGAAACTGGTCCATTTTATGATTGATAGTGGGGCTTCCGCTGCAGCATTGCCAAAGAGTAGGCAAAATCATTGCTGCAATTATGCAGAATTGTTGGGCAAGGCTGTGGTAGCAGTACGCTACAGTGATGTAGGAGTGTCACAACTGTTGTATGTAACGGTTGTTAACAGGAACTTGTGTGAAAAAAATGTTATACATAAGGTAGGCTTCTATCTGGACTAGACGAGTCTTCTAAAATTAATGATCTTTGCGCTGCCAACTTTTCTGTAGATTCCAGTAAACCTATCTCAAGCATTGTAGCAACAATTCTTTTAAAAAATGATGCTATTTCCAAATTTGTTAAAGCTCGACCTGTTGCTTTTTATTAGAAATAAATGATTGAAATAGCCTCCGACAAATTATTAGTTAAGGGAGTTATTGAATCTCTCTCCAAGTAACTGGACATAGTCTATTGTGCCAGTTTTAGACGACGACTCCAAAAGTATGAGGATTTGTGGGGCTTCAAATATATGATCAAGAATATTCATTGTTACCAATATCCATTACCCAGAATGGAAGAGTTGTCTGTGGTGGATGACGGCACGATTATTTGAAAAATTAGGTTGCCTAATGCTTATTTGCAAATACCGGTAGATGAAAAAGCCTGCGATTTTGAGGAGTACAAATAATGGGCTTTTAAAGTCTGTGAAGAATCATAATGTAATTAATACGAATAAATGTGTCTTGAAGATTTGTGCAGTTATTTTGGGTATCACATTTCTGGGGAAGGTATTAGGCCTAAGACGGTAGAAGCAGTTTTGAATTTGCTGTCTATTAAGTTGGTAGGGTATGTTCAGTCCTTTATAAGCACGGTTACATATTGTAAATTTCTTAAAAATTTCTATAATATCACCATTTCATGATTTGCTGAAGAAAAAGAGAATGCTGTTCACAGTATAAAGGATGAATGGTTACATTCAGCTGTTTTGACAAGTTTTACAAGGGAGTATTCATAGATAATTGAGGTTGATGCTTTTCCTGGAGACATTAGTGTGCATATTTGCTGGTAGTTGATGGTCAGAGACCATGTATAGTACTTTGCTAGTAAGAAACTTAATCCAGCTGAACTGAATTATTCACAGCTGGACGAAGAAGAGTTAGCCTTAGTACTTTCTGCTAAGAAGTATCGATATTTCTTGTTAGAAACTTTGTTGCTAGAACAGATCAGAAGCTGTTGTTAGGTCTATTTGGCACGGGCAAAACATATCCCATTCCATGCAAATGGCAGGTTGCAGCGTTGGACTTTATTGTCTGCATGTAACTAATTTAATTTACAGATTTGGCAAGGAAAATGTCAATGCAGATTCAAGGATGGGGAGGTTAGCTCCATTCCCTTATAACAAGGGCCCTTCACATCACAGGGTCTATTAGCCTAATTACCACCATACATAAAGGTTAACAATAAAGAAAAAATCAGTGTATAAAAAATTTATTAAAATCACAAAAGCAGAATAACAAACCATGACAATTATTATATGGGTTTTGCGCTGCGGCTTTGATAAGCATTCCATATATGCATACATATACATACATATTCATGTACAGATATATATGCATACATGTGCACACACACACACGTGCACACACACACACGTGCACACATTTACACACAAGCAATCACACACACATGCATACATACACATATGCATGCACACGCATGCACGCACACGCATGCACACATACGTACAGATACACAGCAACCATTCCATATAATACCTGCGTATGTTTATTATCGTGCAATTTAAAAGCTTTGAAAGGAAATTACACTTCGTGTATTCTAGATCTCTCAATCAACTTGCTTCATTGAATGACCCAAATGAGCTTAATTTTTTGTGAATATAAGTAAACTTGTTAATCACTCTTTCAAGAAGCAGTTGTTCATTGAGAATGTGATGATTCTTAAGATGTGATTGATTCTTGTAGGATATCACGAAAGAGCTTGGTATATCATTCACTTTCAAAAGGGCTAAATTACAAAATTTTTAAGGTATCGTCTGTTTCTTGTGACCATGCTAATGCTTAAGAGGCTCGTAAGTTCCCCCGTCTTCTAATATGTTATTTTTTTTCCAATAATCTACCTTGTCCACAATTACTATCTCAGCAAGACTCAGACCTCTGCAACACAGTTGTCCACAAAGATTTGTTAAGTTATACCATGAATTACGGAAAGATCCTGGACTTCACCTTACAAGAGTAGACAAAGCAAATACGATAGTAATTATGGACAAGGTAGATTATAGGGGAAAAAAATAAATATATTAGGAGACAGGGAAACTCACGCGCCTCTTAAGTGTCTTCAAGCTAGTTTACTTGTTTTTCCCAGCCCTGTCTGTGCTCACGTGTAAGTTATAGTTGCGTAAGGAAGGTCCCAAATTATGTAAGAGTTGCAATCCCAGTTTTTTAACTTAACAGACGACCAGTTGCATTCCTAGTTTTTCAAGTTACAAACGACTTGTGTTCCTAGTTTCACTTTTCACCTTAGATAAGAGATGTGTTCCTGTTGTCAGCTAAAGAACGAGGTCGTTTTCTAGTTTCAAGTAAACTAGTTTTGTTCCATTGGTTAATTTACCAATAAGGGAACTAAAGGGCCCCGACTACTGATGACCCCCGAAATTAGTCTTTTTAACCCTTCGTGAGTCACGCCCGTATTTTTAACGAATGAGTTTGTGGTCGCTTGCGCAGGGTCTGTGCCAGAGCAACCATAAATATTTATATGCATTTTATACAAGCTATTTCGATTTTGTAATCCAAACTCAAATTTTTCAGTTCTCGTATTTCAATATTTATTTCTGAAAAAAAAAAGTTTGTACATCATGCTGCAAGCGGGCCAGCGGCGGCAGTCGTACAATCAGTTTTATGTCTGGCTCTGATGTTAAAATTTAATTTCCCCTAGCGCAGTAGCTGACAGCTTCGAAGGGCCATCTAAATGTTCCAGTTAGGGCCCCCTTGTACCTCTAAATTTACTACTGTTGTGTCCTAGATTCAGTTTGAAAACGAATACATTCCATTGGCTAATCAAGGCAGAAACAAGCCATTTTATGGAGAACAGAATGGATACAGTAATGTTTCACATATACATGTAATGCAGCTTAGTAGTTGTGAAAATTTCACTGGTTCCTTAGTATCGTGTTCGCAAATGCGATTCTTTGTAATTACGGAACATAAGGTGGGGACCTCCTGCCGTATTTTAAGTGCAGGTGTTTGTATCCATGGAAGTTTGTAAGAGGTAGACATTTATTTGTAAGTGTAAATGTGTGCAACTACATAATTTGGCAGATAGGAGACCTGTACATGAAATATATGTAACTGTAACGAAACAAGTCTGGGAGAATTTACTGCAGCGAGGGGAACTGATGGTTCAAAATGCTGAAATACTCGGAGTGCGAGGAAGGAAACATTTGTCCTATAGGTAAAGGGATCTAGTGTTGACGACTGTCATGGTAAGGATGTATACTTAGTTGGATTAGGCTAAATTAAATTGCGCTTGTTATAATAAGGTTAGGCGAGTTTTTTAAGGTTCTTTTTGTGCAAAATTATTAATTTTACATTAACATAAATGAAAAAAAATATATCTTTAAACGTATAAGAGAAAATTTTAGAAAGGACTTAATGTTAAACGAGTTCTTGCTAATTGATAAATTTTACCTATTCGGCACGCGCGCGCGCACACAACCATTGTTTATTTAATGAATAAATGGATAATTAAGATCTGGAAAATGTGTGAATAAAAATGCAGAAACTCGCAAATCCTGATATTGGTTCTGATTTAAATATGGTTTTCCAATGAGTAGGCTATCACTGGCGTTTATACAAGGCATGTATAAACACCTTATTCTCTTACATAGACTTTTTACCTGTGTGTGGGGGTGCGTGCGTGTGGGTGCGTGCGTGTGTGGGTATGGGCGTGTGTGAGGTAAGGGTGTGGGTGGGGGTATGAGTGTATGTAGGTGGGGGTTGGGGGTGTGGGTAGGTGTGTTGGTGTGGGTAGGGGTGGGAAGGTGTGTGTGTGTGTGTGTTGTTGTGTGTGTGTGTGTGTGTGTGTGGACGACAGAGATGGTTTTCACTTATCATATATCAAGATCAAACTTCCCTGACAGTCATCACCTTCGCTAATGGCTTCAATATTATCATCATATTCCCCTTACTTTATGTATTTCACTCGTGTATTTAAAATTGTTTCTGCCGTTTTGGGGGGCAGACCAATCAGTAACATTCTTCAGGGATTTTTAACTAAAGATTTGCCATAATGTACTTTTTTATTTATTACATTTGTGTTGCTGCCAATTTTCAAAAAGTTTCAAAACATTTGCAGACACGTTAAGGCCCCAGAGTCAGAAATGTAAATCCCTATATCAGAATTTATATATTAGAGTAAAACCTAGTTCAAAATTTTAATTTAGAGGCATCTTTTCGTACATTATCACAATAGTGTAACTTTTTGTAATGAATATCTAAGGCAAATTCTCTTGAAAGTTCATAATTTCGAACCATGGATTTTAAAGTTGCTGCTCAATTGTGAGCCAAATGTATAATATATATATATATATATATATATATTATATATATATATATATATATATATATATATATATATATATATATATATATATAATTGCGAAACTGGCCTATGCTTACATGTCAGTTTGGTTGTGAACGATCAAGTTGGAAACGTTACAGCGATGCAAGTGAAAATAAACAGTCCCTAAATATTGTTGTGGTAAAAATGATATGGATAGGTATTAATCAAATTGACAATATAATGAAATTGTCATGTAACATACGACAGTGAATGACGCATAGCTAAATCCTTCTAACTTAAAAAAATGCTTCGTTGAAGGGCAAGACGTGTGGCGCTGTACACTGAAACAAATGTAACTATTCCATTAACTATTAAAAATCTTGCTCCAGGACACGCTACGTCCCACTCTTGCATTAGATATGTACACTTTATATGTATTAAAAAGTCTGCTAGGCTGCATCCATACCTTCTAAAACGGGCAGGTAACATCAGACTGGTATCGACTCTGAGATTATCACATCAATTATAACTAAACTGTGGTTAATTTACTCTACGCCAATCTGCGCAAAACATGTATATTGCTTGTATCAGGCCTAAACTGGTTGATCTTGTCACAGTCGAGACAGTCTGAAAAACACATTCACGCCCTTGGAAGACTGGTCGGTTAAACTCCTATTCACGGTCTCAAGATTCTAAAATCACTATGGTATAAAATGAAAGAGACAGCTACGTTATAATTATAACAAAATAGTACACGTTATTTAATAAGCGAACAGTGATTTAACCAACTAGTCCAAGGTAGGTAATTAATTAAAACAGACTTCGATTCTTTAAGAAATACAATATCTTGAAATGGAGGGAAAATTGGAATATATATGATTGTTCAATTGCGGCAATATAGGCACGCAATTATTTGTCATGCAGTATTGCAAAACTTCCACTATGAACATTATAATTATATAACAACGCCAAATTTCGGAGATCACTAAGATTTCACTCAAAGACGTCTATCATAACAACACAAAATGCAGTACGTAAAACTAGGAAATATTTTCAAGATTACTGTCCAACTAGTGTCAGTATGAAGTAGGAATATCCTGATTACTATTCGTTGTTATCTAACTTGTTAAATCCTAGTTTGTCATACATAGTTTTTATGGTGTTAGGTACAGGGAAGTGTGGGTGATAATATACCCTGTTGCTTAGCCTAGTTTGGTGGGAGAGACCTGAAACACGCAATGTGGCAACAAACACGGCCATCAGTGTTGGAAATTGTAAAGCCAATCCGCTGAGATTAAATGCCAGTGGAATAAATGAATCATATATAAAAACGTGTTTCGTGCATTTATATGCAGCATGTGATATATAATTTGTAGATATTAGATATATAGGAACAATTGTTTGTATTATCAGTTACTACACAAATAATAGCACCTATATTTAAAATACCATATAGTATACATGTAACATAATAAAATTTAAACAGTATAGTAAATCAACTCATGATTTATATATACATGGTATAAACATTCTCATAAATCTCTCAGCCGCCATAAAACAACAATAAACAGTTTACAATACTATAAATTTCGAACAATATGCAACAAAACTAAAACAATTGTTTAAAGTCATTAATGCAGTACTCTGCATCTCATAATGCAGAATTGCACAACGTACACAGCCAATGTTACATTGATGCCTTCTACATAGAGCCTCCAAAAACTTCCCTGACTTCCTATTTACAAGAACCTCCAAAAACTGCCCTGACTTCCTATTTACAAGTCATTGAGTAAAAAAAAAAACAGAACTAACCATTCACTAGTTAGGGTTCATCCTGATACAGACCATACAAACTTTGTTTTCAGTTACACTGTGTTTGCAAAGTATATGCATATATATTGTATAAACTAAAATTTAATACTTTTTTTCGCTAATCAAGAAGGCTCTAATTAATCGATGTGTTCACATTCCGGTCTTCTCAATGATATTCCTCTAAATATGAGTTTTCTCTCAAGCTGGTTACTTCTAAATAACTAATTTAACAACTAGTCGAAGACGGTTAATTCAACAAAATTAGTCTTTTAAGAATACTATATGGAGTTCCCGTGGTGATCGTCAGAGACATCGAAGGCAGAGGGAAGGATAGTGCCCTTCCAGGACCACCCTGGCGCTTGCCATGTGTCGCTCTTGAAGTCTTAATCTGGTTGTCTCTACCATTGCTGTTGCCTACGGACTTTATTGTTACTGCCTTTGCCATCTCTGCTGTTGCAGCTGCTGCCTCCGCCATCTCTGCTGTTCCTACTGGTGCCCCAGGTTCTCTTAGCTCTGCAGGGGAATCAACGTACATTAAAATCTCATCAACGAATGGGCGAACAGAAGAAAATCAGAAAATGTGAAGAGAGAAATTTTGTCAGTTTGTAAAAGAAAAGCATGAAAACAAACCTTTTATGTGAATTGCACATGGATACGAATCCACCTACATGGCTCACCAAGGGAAATTGTTTTCTTTTTTATTGGCTATTTGGACAGACACTGAAACAAGATCATTCTTTAATGTGTTTCAGTTGAGTTCATGAACAAATCTTGTACAAGCGCTCTCGTAATGCATACGGTGAATATCGTTTTACAAGAGTTAACCAATGAGTGGTGGTGGTTCATTTTCATTTTACAAAGGTAAACTTATTTAGATACGCAGCTGTTTAGACGACAGGCAATGCAAGTTCGTGAGAAAAATTATCATTTTACCTCAGCAAAATTAAGTTGGCAGACAATGGGAAAAGTTCTGTATACTTCCTAATAACTAAATATAAGAGTCATAAACACTAACGCTCAGCTAGACAGTTCATGAACCAAACTCTTTATTTAGCAACGATGAGAACAACTTGTCTTAGCTTTGGAGAAGAGTAATGAGAGAGAGTCGGTAAGAAGACTGGTGAAGAGGAGGGAGGGGGCACCCACCCTGGAGCTCAGCACTGCAGGAAAGAAAACATCAATTAGAAATCGGAAAAGATGACAAGAACACATATATAAATGAGCCCCTGCGAGCAGCAGAACACTCGCAATACGCTCAACACAGCACGTACACAATACAAATATACTTGTCGAAAACAATACAAGTACTCTTACACAGCTTACACGTATAACAAAATTAATCACAATAAGACTGACAATAATTAGCGGAAAATAAAGATAAATCATACACACTAATAGAAATATTCACACTAAAGTCTTATAAATTACAGAAATTTTCAGCATACTGAGATGATGATTTCCAGTGCAGAGGAATATATCTCTCAAGCAATATAATAATAAAATATCGCATAACTGAATAAAGACGCTGGTATACAAACTGTGGCCGGTGTGATGTAAGTCAAGGCTGGGAGCAACACCAAACCACCAAGTAACAGGAGAATCGCAACAAAATCTTATTACTTTCTTGTAATATAGGGAGAAAAAAAAATAAAGAGCACGTAAATGTGAAACTCAGACGAGGGGTATGACTCGGGAGGTGCGCTCTAGTACTCTGTAACATGGCAGAACACAAGTACATGCAGAAACTTGTTAGTGGCTCGAGGGGGAAAACTTATGTGAGGAAGTACAAAACGGGTGGGTACAGACCGAGAAAGGGAGGTAGATAAAGGCAGAGGGAGAGAGAGGGATAGAAGAAAAAAGTGGGAAAGAGAGGGAAGGAAGCAGGAATGAACTGAGGGAAGGAAGGAAAAGGAAAGTGATGGAAGGGGAGGTGGGTGAAAGAGTAATGTGGATAGAGAGAGAGTGACAAAATAGCACATATGAACAAGCACGGTGACTAAAACAATCTAATTTAAAATAGCCAACAGAAAAAAGCAACATCATAAAAAATGAAATTGAAAAGAGGGAAAACACAAGTGAAAATCCTGGGTAAGCAGAAGACACAAGGAGGTGCAATAGTGGCTCGCTCCAGGGCACGGGAAAGACTACGGAGGTTGCTAGCTACCACACAGGCAAAGATGCTAAGTGTGGTTATGCAGGAGTTTGCACGATCACCAACTGTGCTATGTTTCCAGCAGCAGCATAGTAGTAGTAGTAGTAGTAAGTAATAGCAGTAGGTAAATCTGGGCGTTATCAACTCCACTTATGTTAACTTCTCCGTTTTGGATGCATTTACTTAACCTTCGCTTCCTTCCACCCCCCCCCCCCCCCCCCAATATAATTTTTAACGACTCTACTAAAACCATTTCAAGTCAAATTACTCTTACCTTCTCCATCAACGCTGAATAACGTTCTCGTAGTGACAAAGTTTCAGCAGCTTTGTTCTACTAAGAATTTAGTAACTCTTCCTCTCTTGCTGTCAATTCATAGCGGGGACGTCTCCCCAGTCATAAAATTTGGTTCCAGATGTTTATAGTAAGTCGCATTCTGTTACTCTCTTGTTTCTCCAGGCAGTAACAGTGCTGAAGTGTTCTACAACACTTAAAGAAGATGGGATGTCAGGTAGGTATTATGGGAAACAGCTCAGCTGGTGGTACGGTTAGGTTAGGTAAGGTTTATCAGGAAACAGGACAAGTGTTTCCCTATACGAGTCTTATTTCATATGATAACCCGCAGCTGGAGCTTTTGGTCATTTGACCGAGGCTTTTAGCTGGCTTACCAGTCCACCCCTTTAAAAATTATGCTTATGATAACCATTGATTGACTCTCAAAATCGTTATAACACGATTTCCAACAGACCAAACCGAGTGAAACAAAACATACCACGGGTGGGGATAGAACCCGCGATCAGAGAGTCTCAAAATTACAGACCGTCACGTTTGCAATTGTCATTACGATTTCGTGAGTCAGAGTGCTTTACGCACTGACCTGAAGTTTTAGGACTCACTCGCCATGGTTTTAAATGCTACCCGTTCCGTGGTTCATTTGTTGACATATACTAGCTGGTGGTACGTTTGGTAGCTAGCTGACTTCCAGGAGTGTTGGCAGAAGTTGTATAAATCTGCATTCTTTCTGGTTTGCCTTCGCCCATTACTAGAAGAATCTTGCTATCACCTCTGGTACTCACAACCTAATAGGCTTTTTTTTTTTTTAAGCCTTGCTTTGTTAATTTTCTGTGAGCCATCCTGGTGCTGCTTCCAGAGTCATGGGATGATCTCTGGGGGAAGTTAGCACCTTTTCCCGTTTTGACTGAAAGTGACAGAGCATTTTTCTATTTTTTCTACTGAGTCTGTCGGTCGATCTGTTTCTCTTTATACCCAACTCTTATTATAGTGAGACACCAACTTCCTCCTGTAGACATCTCTCTTTATGACCCCCTGCGGGTTATGACTGACACACACACACACACACACACACACACACACACACACACACACACACACACACACACACACACAAGGATAACAGGGAAGGCACTAAAATGGATCAGGGAATACCTGCCAGGAAGACAGCAGCGAGTCATGGTACTAGGCGAGGTGTCAGAGTGGACGCCTGTGACGAGTGAGGTTCCATAGGGGTCAGTCCTATGACCGGTGCTGTTTCTGGTATTCGTGAACGACATGAGGGAAGGAATAGACTCCGAAGTGTCCCTGTTTGCAGATGATGTAAAGTTGATGAGAATTCAATCGGACGAGGACCAGGCACAACTACAAAGGGATCTGGACAGGCTGCAGACCTGGTCCAGCAATTGGCTCCTGAAGTTCAACCCCACCAAGTGTAAAGTCATGAAGATTGGGGAAGGACAAAGAAGACCGCAGACGGAGTACAGTCTAGGGGGGCCAGAGACTACAAACCTCACTCAAGGAAAACTATTCTGGGGTGAGTATAACACCAGGCACATCTGAGGCGCACATCAACCAAATAACTGCTGCAGCATATGGGCGCCTAGCAAACCTAAGAACAGCATTCCGCCATCTTAATAAGGAATCGTTCAGGACCCTGTACACTGTGTACGTTAGGCCCATATTTGAGTATGCGGCACCAGTTTGGAACCCACATTAGCCAAACACGTAAAGAAACTAGAGAAAGTACGTACAAAGGTTTGCAACAGGACTAGTCCCAGAGCTAAGGGGTATGTCCTACGGGGAGAGGTTAAGGGAAGTCGACCTGACGACACTGGAGGACAGGAGAGATAGGGGAGACATGATAATGACATATAAAATACTGAGAGGAATTGACAAGGTGGACAGAGAATGTTCCAGAGATGGGAAACAGCAACAAGGGGTTGGAAGTTGAAGACGCAGATGAATCACAGGGATGTTAGGAAGTATTTCTTCAGTCAGAGTTGTCAGGAAGCGGAATAGTTTGGGAAGCGATGTAGTGGAGGCAGGATCCATTCATAGCTTTAAGAAGAGGTATGATAAACCTCATGGTTCAGGGAGAGTAACCCAGTAGCGGCCAGTGAAGAGACGGGGCCAGGAGCTATGACTCGACCCCTGCAACCATAACTAGGCGAGTACGTACATATATATAATTAAAGACAAATTGTAAAATGTCAAGAAAAGGTGGAGGGGGAAGGAAATCCTGGTTACATGGGTTCTCAGGTACATTGGTATAATTTTCTCAGGTTCATCTGCATGCACACTTTTGAAATTTTAAAATTAATTTCATCTCTGTATTATTATTCTGAAATAGAAAAAAAACTGCATCTAGAAATAAAGAATTTGTAAGGGTGACTTTATTATTGAAAATATTCTCCATCACACTTCCGTTCACAGCTGCTCTCATTCATCCTTACTTTTAAATTAAAATTTATTTAACAGCATTGCGTGGCTGCCCTGATCTGTATCAACCTATCTTTAATGTTAATGTAAGTAACTCACTTTACCGTATTCCTAGTATCTCTCTCTTTATTGTTTAAATAAGTTATTACAAAAAAACCCAATGGAAATAAGTCATTTTTGTCAGATTTTCCTGGATCAGCCTAGGTAATCTACACACATGCTGCTATGTATGATAATTTACGTAACTGTCTTCATGTGTACCTGTACCTGATTAAACTTATGATATTTTATCTACATGCAGGATGTATTTTTGCGTGTTTGTACACTGGAGTGAATAGTTAATATTTTCTTTAAGATAACTGAAGGATGACTGAATCTCATGACCACTAAGGTCATCAGATTGTGTTCTTTTTAGCTTCCTGTAGGTTAGCCTTCTCAGCCCCGGGACCAGTCAGGTTGCAAAGTTTTCAATTTTGTTTCACGCTTGATCTGGTGTGGGTTCCATAGAGGTGTTCATACTTCAAGAAAGTCTAGTATATAAGTATTTTTGCCCTTCTAAGAGCTCATAGGCATGCATAAGCTGCTAGTTATTTTGGTTGAGTTGCACCCCTGGCGATATGCTAGCTACTATACTTACCCCAAGGTACTTCCTGTTCCAGATTTGTAGTCTCTTTCTTTTTCGCTATATAGAAGCAAGTTAAATATAGGTTCAGCAGGACGCGAGTGTTTGGCCCGCCTTCTTCAACAAGAATAGTTACTGTCGATTGAGGATCGGGCTCACCAATTTTGCTCATAGCTACATGTTTACAGGTGCTAACTGAAGAATACATTTTAACTGTTAGCCATTTTTGCTTCCATTGTTTTTTTTTTTTATACTTACCAGGATGCTTATAGGCGTTTCTTTGCATTGACAGTTTAATGAGACATAACAAATTTTGGTTATTTTAAATAACTGATAGTATTTATGTTGTGTTATTCATGGTAGTTCTTTATTTTGTGTTAACTTTTTTTATGTCCTGTTCAAGTTTATCCTTTGTATGGACTGATGAAGCCACTGTGTGGCGAAACGTTTCCTCAATAAAGATACCCAAGAGTTGCACATGTGTCTAATTTAACATGTCGGTTCTTTGAACCATTCATCTACAATTGTCAAGGGTGCTGAGAAATTTACGTGTTCTAAGCGCTCTTCAAATTTGAAAACTGCTAATCTATTGATCAATTTTTGCACCATCTCCGAACTGAATTCCAGTAGTCATTTATACAAATAATATCCCTTA